AACCATTTGTAGAGCACGACATCATCCTGTTTACCAGCCTTCCTGACCAAGTCTCCCCTTTTGCCTCTGGGTTCAACACACTTCCCAGACTAATATGCCAGAGTGCATAACTGTGTATGTGTGTTTGGTAAAATGAGGTTGTGCATTTCTGCATGTCCGTGCATGCTCTGTTAAATTACTCCGGGCAAGTCTCTCTTTGTTTTCTTCATTCTTCTTCACTGCTCTGCTCCCATTCTCTCTCAGCCTCTATTTTGAGACGCACATGTCTGCTCTGACCCAGCATGTGCCGATTCTGTCAGATTTAGTCCCAGGCTCAGTGGATCGCACCAGAACACTTGCCCTCTAATTTTAAAAGGAATAATAAAGTCAGAGAAAAGTGGTCTGTGGTCCCTGCCAGCCTTTTTGATCACCAAGATGCAGTAAGAAAGGATCCAGAGACCGTTTCATTTAGGTTCTGGCTCTTTTATAGGATCTGTCAGAGACTGAGATCTTCATCTTTTCCCTAAACAATAACCTTTGCCCTCTGTTTCAGCTACTCCCCTTTAACAGCTACCATGGACAGTTATCTTCTCCAGCAGTCTGCTGTTTATCAAATACAAATTTCCTCTTGTCGACCGTGATTGATGTTTTTCTTTTCTTTTTTCTTTAAGCATCTGTATTCCCTAGTTGCCCCATTTCACAGTTTGTGGTTTTGACTTCACACATGCCTGTTAGAGGTGTGTGTGTTTGTCAGGATGTTAGAGGGCCAGCTGCTGCCTCCGGCCTGACCGATAGCGGCAAGGACAAAATGAGGAGAAAAATGAGGAATGTCAGGAATCTCATGGGAATCCCGCTGTGACCGATTCTTGGATTGTTTTTCCTGTTGTGCTCAGTCCATCTGGCTTAAACGTTTATCAGGGATTATATGCCTGGTTTTCTTTACATACATATGGTAGGCCTACGTAATCCATGCTACTTGGCACTTGTGTCTTAACACTTTTAAGTTCCTAATGATATCCATCATTTAGTTCTCATACTTAAAATCGAAGGACTCATTAGCTTAAAAATAAAAGCCAAAGTCTTATAAAAGAAATGAGAGTAAGCCTGTAGATGTGACAGTAATCTCATGGGAACTTAAACTTCAGATAAAATACCTCCACATGGCTAACTAGCATAGAAATACTGACTCATTTAACAATGTTTCAAAACAAGAGTAAAGACATCTTAAGACCAAGTTGATCCCGTAAGGCCTCCACGCCATAAGCGATGAATAACGACATTTACAGTCGACAAGTATCGACAGGGTTTTAGAAAACAAACATGTAGCATGTGCTTATCTTGTTAAATATCGTCATGACGATTATTGAATAAACAAATACATACAATCCTTACAGTTGTTATGGTTTCGTAACTGTAATAACATTCCAGTCTTACAGTTTTTATGTTAATTTCAGTGAGATACCCCGAAAGCTGGCTGGCACCACAGTCTCCCTGAACACTGACCAGCAACCAACTTTATATTTTGACTTTCCTCTGGATGTGACAAAAGTCGATACAAATCTAAGTGAACTGCAGTGCAGCCATACATTCACTGTTCTCTTTCACAAAGCAGAATTAAAACAGATCTTTTCAGCAATAAAAACAAAAAGCCGAAGTTGTCTTCAGGGAATGTAGACGGAAGATGGGAGAGAATGCTGAAGTTACTCAGAGAGAAGGAATATGAACAGCATGAGTGAGCTGGAAGGGTCAACCATCCATCACCGGCATCCAGGTCATTAGTCTGTTTACAGAGAGCTGGCAGTGCACTTCCACTTGTCATGTGGAACCGATATCTAATTAAAGCTGAACAAGAGGGGGCTAATTGGGACACTACTCGCCCCGAGGGAGTTTAGACTCCCGCAGTGCTTCCATCACCCTGCGAGTCTCTCAACCAGCAATATGAACTGATGAGCTACTTTCAGCCACAGCCACCGATCCTTTAGTCTCTGCTGTCAGCTTCTTGAAGAAACTGCTTTAATTATGTCATCATTGTGCAACTTTTAGTGTTTAGTCAGAGACTAATTTGATTTCTCTACAGTTTGAAATTCAAATCAGCTTTCTGAGTTAAGATTTCAGTCAGCAGCTGCTATACTGATCACTGGATCAGTGCCAAAAGTATTATTTTTCTTTCTCTTTTTCCAGCGGTTTTGCTGCTTCAAAGTGCGAAAGTGTCATGAATCTTGATGGGTGGCACTTTGACAGCAGCTGGTGTTGTGAGGTGTTATAAATTAAATTAACAAACATACCTTGCTTGTCATGAGTCTACTAGTACTGATGTGTGTCGCCCTTAAAACATAAATCTACCTGACAAACCGTAAACACAACTTTATGGTTTTGCAGCTTTCTTCTTCTTTTGATGAAAAGGTAGTCTTTTCATGAAAAGACTACCTCTTAAATGAAAAGTTGCCTGGTGAACAGGTTGGATCTCTGCAACCCCTCCAGAGTTTCAGTTGACTTCTTGGTTGTTTTTCTAATTAATGGTCTCCTTGTTTCTACTGATATGTTTATAGGTGTTATACTTTCTGTTTTTTTGGATGATGGATTAAACATCGGTGGGATGTTGAAAGCTTGGGATATTGTTTTATATCTTAACCGAGCTCTTAACTTCTCACAACTTCCTGCTGTGTTCCTTTCTACATTGATTAAACCTCACAGAACATCTGGCTTTACAGGAAGCTGAGTTACACGCAAACCAACTCCTGAAGGGAATTAGTTCCTCTGGATTTCATTTAGAGGCATCATAGCAATGTGGGCTGATTACAAATATACTCCCAACTCATCAGATTATTCTTTGTAAAAATTATTTCCCATGCACTACTTTGGTTTGTCCATCGCAAATCTCTCGGATAGCAACAGTGTCAGAACAGACTGAGACGCTTCATTTCCTGCTGTTTGTTTTAGTCGAGATAGCATCAGAAGTGACACCATCCCGCCAAAATGGTCTCTGTGGACACGTGGATGCTGGACCTGGATCTCCAAATAGTCTGTAATTGATGAGTTGTTCATCTCCTCTTGAGAGAGACTGTGGGAGAAGCATTATTCATTCATCAACTCATCACTCAGACGGTGACAGAATATCATCCATAGCTGTGCAAACACACTCTGGGCACCGGCTGAGAGTTGAAGGCGGCGGGGGGAAAAACACAAATCCACCAAGTTTTCATAGTCTGATTAAACATCCAGATGTCCCGCAGTCAATATAAAGGAAGCCCTGTTCAATTCAAGGGCGTGTCTAAGAGGAAAAGAAATGCGTCCAAAAAAGAAGTATGCCCATAAGGAAATGGTGAAAGGCAAATATTTGTACAGACCTGGCTGACTTTGTATATTTCACTGCTTACTGCAGATCTCAACAGCCAAAGCTTCCAGTATAGCTCATCACACAGACTCTGAAGTTTAAGAAAAGTGCTAATCAATCTAAAGTTATTCAAGCAACATCTGATTATCATTTAGAAACAGGAAAACTCCTAGCTTAGTTCCTTCATGCTGCATGCAGCTTGCCAGCGCTGTACTGATTTTATTTTTTTTATATTTATAAGTGCTGAAAGCAGCTTTGCGCATATGTTTGAATCCAAGTATGTCTGCAGAAAGTATGATCTCCTTTGGCATCCTGTCTTGAAGCTGGAGGACAATGCAAAGTTTCCCAGATGGGGATTCATAATGCAGTTTGTTCCAAGTGAATATTTTTTTATAAAAAAATTTAAAAAAACCACACTTTTCATATCTAGTTGTGCAAAGTTTCAAAGAGCAATAAAGGACACAATGGGAAAGAGCCATGGGAACATTTTTGTTTATTCTTTAACAAAGTATGAACACTGTCGGCATAGAGTGGGTAAAATAAGGAGATGGATTTACGAATTCAAAAAGCTTTTTTGAGAAAAAAAAATTATGTGATGCTACACTTTTGATTCCAGTTTATCAGAAACTTAAAGAATTTTTTTTTTTTTTTTTTTGAAAGAATTGGAGAAGAAAATCTTAGTGTTGTGGTGCATTCCTAAGAAAAAATACACAACATAAAATCTGAACTGGGAGGAGATACTGGGGCAGATTCAGAATTGGGTAGCCTGGGAATGCCTTGAATTTTCCAGAATGAGCTGGAGAGTAACTGAGTTGTCCGGGTTTCCCTTCCCAACCTGTTGCTTCGTGATTCGATCTGATAGGTGGAAGACAATAAATCAGATGAATCTAAAACCAAACACAAAATTGGAAACGAGCACAAAACTGACTGGTACATATTTCATGGTTTTGTATTCTTATTCTCCGGTGATCCTTGCGGTAACAAAGCATTGGAAATCTTTTTGTTTTTCTTTCACAAATGGAAAACATGTTGCTAATCTCAAAAAGTTTTGACTTTGACAAAAGATAATTATGTTTTGATATCATCAGATATCTTCTGCAGAGACTGCCCTGTCAGACAGACTTCCCTCCTCTTTAGTTTTACTCTTCATCTTTGAGACATGAGCCTCAAAGATGAAGTGTGTGTGTGTGTGTGTGTGTGTGTGTGTGTGTGTGTGTGTGAGAGAGAAAAAGCATATGTGATGTGTACGCTTGGATTAAATGCACTTTGTCAAATAAATGTTTGTTGCGGTTCTTCATCTTCTGTGTTTTTGTCACCAGTTGGAGTGGAAAGTTTATACAGTGAGAACAGAAATATTTAGATTTATTTATAAAGAAGGCATTCAGAGAGATAGACGGAGAGAGTGGATAAATGATGATGTTGAAGAAGGGAATCTCCCCGAGGCGAAGTAGAGAGGAAACGTTTTATTTCCTCTATCTGGGAGCTTTTTGTACTGGCAGATGAGGTCCTGACCTTTTTCCCCTCACACAATGCATCCAGTTTTATTTTCTGTGTTGCAACCCATTTCCCAAAGGTCACTAAATGTGTGTGCAGTGCATGCATATCTAGTCAGAGAATTGAACAGTCAGCTGTAGTTCCATCATTGTAACAGCAGAATCCTTGTTGATTCTTTACTTTTTGTCCTCAGGTGAGTCTGGTCTCGGTAAATCCACTCTCATCAACTCTCTGTTCCTGACTGACCTGTACTCCAAGGATTACCCTGGACCGTCGCAGCGCATAAAGAAGACTGTGCAGGTGAGCTCAGTTTGCTGTTGGATTAGCTCGATTCCAAATCGCAGCTCACTTCAGCGTTTCATCGTAGAGTTGGTTTTGCAGATGTCAGCAGCAGTAGCTCATTAATCTTTTTCTGTTGTGGTTAATTGCTTTTTCTTTTTTTTTCTTTTTTTGCTTGGGTTTGTTCGTTGATAGATGATGAGTTCTCTGAATGAATTCCTGATACAGAAACAAACACAGATGTGAGGACTGTGAATGTGGAAAGCAGATTTTCCTTCAACATTTAGTTTTAAAAAGTTGGTCTTTTTGGTTCTAGTCTGGCCATTACCTTACTCTGCAGTTCTACTAAAAAAAAATAAAAAATGATTGCTTCCAGCACGGTCTGGACTTCCTCCCCTACACTCGGATTCTCTCCGGTAGACTTTATACCAGGCCAATAAGGAAAGAGGAGGAGAAGTTGTGAATCATGACGTTGATTTTCCGTGCTAGAATTTTAATCTGCCTGTAGTTTTAGCAGTGGCAGTGGAGGAAGTGAACAAAGTCGTTGAGTCCATGTTGGCCACGCTTCCAAATATTTAATTAACATTAACAGCCGCCTCGTTTGGATCAGTACTTCTCTCTGCGCAGTGGAGGATGCTTGTTTACAGCACATGCAATTTCAGGTAAGCCACTTGGCATTGAACTGCCGCATTAGTTAATCACAGGAAAACGTTAACAATTGGGTAAAATTTAAAACCTCTACACAGTCCATGCCTCCAGGAATGCTCCAGACTCTATATGAAGAAAATTGTGCAAGGGTCTGGTTTTTATCAGGCCGGTTTGAAACTATTAGGACAGTTTTTAGTTTTGTTCAAAATCAAATTTCTTCACATACAAACCTAAATTTAGCTTAGATATTTTAAACTGTTATTCTTATAACAAGTTATTTCTGCAAAATACAAATCTTTGACATTATCTTTTCTTTCTCATTGATCGTTTTTAATGTGTTTCCAGTGTTTTTGTTTTTTTCCTCTTTTTGTTTTTAAGCCCTGCAAAGCACGTTGTGTTATACTTGACCATTTAAAAAGTGCCCTATAAAGTTTATTTAATTGAAGTGACTGACACAGCAGTCTAGCCTATTTTCTGATTAATTCGGTTAAAGATTACTTTTTACCCCATGGTGCATGGAAATATTTGTTTCATTTCTTCATTTTTGAACCCTAATAAAACAGGCGTTTTGGATATTCATTTTTTCCTCAAACTCTGTCTCCTGCCAAAACTACCAGATAAAGCTGTGAAGCTCAGATCAGTTAATCCAGCCAAGCTTTTTAACATTATTTTGGTCTAAATATTTATGAGGCACGGATTAAAACCGCATTTCTTGTGGTCTCTGAAAAGCTTTAAAAGCATCATAAAAATGGACTTTGCAAAACAAAACAAAAAAAAACCTCAACCCAGCTTGTGGTTGAGGTTGCAGTATTTTGATGGACAACAATCTGAGTCGCTGGTTGTCGAGTGTGGGGATCAAAAATAAACCAACCAAAGTTGAAGGAATGCACCAGCACGTCCAAGCCAGACTTTACAGCTGCCAAGTTTTCCAGATGTTTATCAGCGCAACATTACGAAGGGCATAATTTATGACTTAATTTGAAAGCCCTACCACGAATTCAAACTACTCTGATGCACGTTTTTTGTGGTGCAAATGTAAAATGTTTCATTTAGTTGTTCTTTAATTTGTCTTTATATAGAAGGAATTCAACCCTCCTCCATAAAAGTGACCACAGATATAGGAATGATGAGTTGGATATCTGCAAAAATGTCGGCACCATACATTCCTGAGTTGTGACGGAGTCTTCGCAGACGTCAACCAAGCTCAACCAAGCTAACATAGTCAGACTATTTCAGATCTTTTTTATATAAACCAGTCAGTTTTGCGATCTGTCAAAAATCAGTCTCATAATAGCAAAATCAGTGATTTAATAAACCTAAAAGACAAAAGTGCTAATGTTGAGGATTACTGTGGCCTGAATTCAGGCCGTCTTTTACTCAAAAGTGGTTGGACCTCTGCGTTTGGTTCCAGAGCCCATCTACAGGCTTGGATGACAGATGAATCTCAGCTCAACCAGCTGTTTCGGCTGGAAGGCAGATGGTTTTGGTCGGAGTCGGTGGTTGAGATTCAGAACAAAGTTTTTACTTAAAGAAAGTTACTAAGTGAAGCTGGAGGAACTTTACCTCAAGTAGGGCCACAAGAAAATAAACAAACGTAATGTGATTTTATTTTCGACTGAATAATTTTGGCCTTAAATGTAGGTTAAGAAGCTTAAAAGTATAAGAACCTTTGAGATCATTCTTGGAAACTTCTGGGGAATATAAAGGTTTGTGAAACCGAAAAGTAAACATTCGACAAAAACGTTGCTGCGCAGCCAGGTGAGACTCAACAAAAGCACTAGAACGTGCAGCATCCAGTTAAACTGACATACCTGAATTCAGCTATCAAATGTTAGGGCGTATAAAAAATTAGCCCAGCTTTTAACATTTCGAAGGGACCTGGAGTTAAGCAGGTAAAGTAGGTGGAAGGCATAATCTGAGTTTTTGTGCACTGCATTTTACACAGAGAGGCTGCAGAATCAGAAACAGTTGGGGCAAAGGAGGATGGAGGAACTAAGAGGAAAACTGCCACAAGGTTCAGTTGTGTCCTTTTATGGTTATGACAAACTGAAGAGGAGGAGGCAGGCTGCTGTTGGAAGAAAGGATAGAGAAAGAAGGAAGAGAAGCAATTTGTTAAAAGGAACAAGTTAAGGAATTTTGGGAGAAAACCACCAGGAAGTGGAAGATGACAATAGAAGCAAAAGGAAAGTGAAGGAATTTGGAGAAAGGGGAGGAAGAAGCAATGATGGGTGAGGAAGACATCAAACCTGGTATAGCCTAGTGTCTGTCAGAAGTTATTGGCAATGATACGTTTATAAGATGTGACAGGATTTAAAAAGAAAACGTGGCATCTGGTCGGAGATCCCTCATATCCCTCTGAGGTTTCTGTGGGTCACTTTAACCATCACAACATTCTGTCAATCCTTCATCAGCCCTCGCCTTAAAGCTGGAAACCCACCCCTGTGTGGTTAATAAATCCTGTGGGCCAATCTCAAACGCCCCGCCCACACTCTCGTAAATCCTGTTTGTAAAAGAACTTCAACTCTAATTTACACTTTTTTTTTCACCAGCGCTGCGTTGTCTTCAGACCTAAACACAAACAAGTATCACCCACACAAACACACACACAGGCCCCACAGCTTTTCCTTCTCTGAAAGGATGCTATTCAGTTTGCTGCTCAGCTGATTAGAAGTGCCTCTGTGTGGGTTGGTGAGTGAGAAAACTCGGCTGCACTGTGTGATTGTTCAGAAAGAATCAGTTTGTGGTATCTAAAGCACCGTTTAATCCAAATTACAAGCCCAGCTGTAATTCTTCACATTTTCTGAGGTCCCTTCAGCTGCTTGGCTCTTTCTGCTTAGCAAATGATTTAAATGAAAATGATCCAACAAGGAGCACAACTGAAAATAAATACGATGTTTTACTTTTAAAATTTCATGCTACATCTTAGTTTAGAACCAATCAGAAAAGCAAATAAAAAACTCAAAGTGGGAGGAAGCACAGTAGCTATAGGACATTATAAACACAGCATGCTAGATATGGCTTTTAAAATATATACAATACTGCAGAGACTTCATTTGTCTATTGAGATGCTGTCAGTAAAAATTTAAGAAAAACATTTATTAACTTCATTCATTTGTATCACATTCTGTGTACGTGGCCGTTAAATCTAATCAGGAACCTTTACATGTAAATCTGCCTCCCGATATGTTGGATATTTGAGAGTGCGCTGGGATCAGCCAGTGTTCCCACAGATTCATCAGTCATTGGTCCTACAACCATTACCACACCCGATATCTGCGCCTGTTGTTCATAATTGAGACCCACTGTGCTTTCCCATTCTCTTATTGTTTGACTGAGTGGAGATGGCTGCCTTTAATTTAATTCATTTTCAAGTTTTGCACTGCAGTGAATCATAACTTCTCATTTTACCGAAACAGAGAAAGTTGTGTTTAGTGTTCAAGCAGCTGCCATATCTAAAATATGACCTGCTGTACAAAGGGATGGTAGATGACATTTGCCTTTGCATCTCTTCAGCATAGCAGCTTTATCACAGTCAAGTCAGTGCATGAGAACAATGCTGCATTCATTGTCTTTGACTAAAGAACCTTAACCTCCCTCTTCCCATGCACGCTGTGACTGTGGCGTGGGTTTATGTTCTCCCCTCCAAGTAGGAGTTGGTGTCTGCAGGCGTGTTGGAAAAGGCCTCTGTGGTCTGAGGCTGACCGGCTCAGAGTATTTATATTACAGAAAAGTCTACCATGTTTTGTCGCTCGCGGATCAGATTTCTTTTTAAATGATGCTTTAGGGCCTGAGGGGAAATTTTTGAGGCTTTCTCCCAATCTGTTTTCCCTTACGGAAACGGTTGAAATAGCCGATTTGGTTTCGGGACGGCTGACATTTCACGCACAAACACGTTCATTTGAACACACATGACGTGTGATCAGTCAAACTCAGATATGTCAAATGACTGCGGTGCGTGATATATATGCTCAGTTATAAAGTCCGACAGATTATCTCAGGGTTTGTGGAAACCCAAGAATGTTTGTGTTGGAGTTAAAAGGCCGTAGTTCAAGTTTAAAGGGTGATCTGAAAATAACCAGATGGGCCTGTGAAAGTATGCAAGGCAGCGAAAAAGCAACAAAGAATCTGTGTGACTGAGGAGCAGCTTTTCTGTTTCAACCTGAGGCCACTTGCAAGAATCAATCCATTTTCTAACATTAGTTTACTTAATTAGTTTTGTTTTTTACATTTTCTGACTGAGTGTACTATGGTACAATAAAGCTAATAATGGAGTTAACAATTTCACTTAAACTAAATAAGGTCACTATTGCATATTAGTCATAATGTAACTGTGCACTTTTAGTAAAATCTAATATTTAAGAAAAAATGCTTTTGGAGATCAGTCATTGCCCACCTGTTTCTCCGCCTATCCTAAAAAAGTAACACAACCTTAGACTTAATTGGACTGCCTTTTGCTTTGATTACACTGTCATTGAGGCAGTACGTCTCTGAAA